AAATCCCAGAAGACTGCTTTCTTCATAGTCACCGTGATGAAAGCCTCAAATCTTACATATGTGGTAATTCCTCCAAACTCTTCCACTAATCTTGGTCATGTATATAGTTCTGAATTGAAGCATCTACCTAGTTCTGAAAAGCCATTTCTACACATGTCCATTAGTTGCACTAGCTGCATATATATATACACAGAAGAACTATGTATATATATATACAGAAATACTCTCTATGAACACTACAGAGCCTTCATAGAATACATGGGAGCAGCCTACAGTGTATTACTCGTGGACTTATTTCAATACCTTTATAAGTAACTCAAAACATAAGAAAAAAGGTATGGTACTGGGATGCACAGAATGGTACTGTAATAATCTACCAATCTTAACTCTGCAAATCTTACTCCAGACAACTACAGGATTAACACATATTATGAAGAAAATATTGCAAGTGGGGAACATTACAGTCCATAGATCTATTCCTGCCAAAAACACAGAATAAAAACAAGACATTATTTTTGTCAAGGTCCAATGTCATTCTTTGAAACAAACTGATTTCTCCCCAGTTTTGTTCTCAATTTTGTACATGTACTTATAATTCATATGCCTGGAGCGAAAGAAATCAGGTAGCCTCAGAATGAAACCAAAACCAAACACTGCATAAAATCAGACATATTCTGGAGATGTGTCTTAACACCTTCAGGACCGGAGGGGCCAATTGGCCCTCTACGTTTCTATAGCGTTGCGGACCAATTGGCCCTTTTCTGACGTGTTATGTTGCAACCAACTATATCTCGCTGCGTGGCCACATTGCATCATAACTACTGCGTAGTTGACCTCAGGAATGTTTGCTAGCTTAGTCAGTAACATGATCACGCTCATTTCCTGTCACACCCTAAAGAAAAAAGCCTTTGTTCGAGTCCAAGCTTCCATGTATGAACCAGGAAGTTAGCAGTGCAACATGGATCAGAGACGAAAGCAGTTGCAGGCGAAGCGTTCTCTCGGAGAACAAGAAATATTAGATTTGTTCTCCGATGAGCTATCAGATTTGCCAACTGCTTCTTCTGATAGCGAGGCCAGCCTCAGTGAAAGTGACAGTGACAGGGGCCATGAAGAAAGTTGCACTGTGGCTTATAAACTGTGCATTTTTCAATTCATTTTCAGTTTTCAAAAAGGTGAACAGAAATTCTACTTTGAAACACAAAGCATTTCTGTAGAACTTGGCAAAAGCTTGGGCTACTGACCTCATGGTGGCGGCAGTACCTGCGTCAGACACAGACATAGTGCAGCAGGGGCTATCTGTTCGCACCCGCCGGAGGCCTCATGTGGATCCCCCTGGACGACTCTCAGGTGATATGCGGAAACATACAATCGTGAGAATTGTGAAGCGTGTACATTGCAAGAAGAAGTACCCTTCTAGGCAGTGCCGTGTGTGGGCAGTCCACAAGAAGAAGAGTAGGACTGCGTACATCTGCAAATTCTGCGTGATTCCTTTTCATAAAGGAGAATGTTTCCAGAGATATCACATGCGCAAGCACTTCTAGGAGCTCTGGTAAGTGTTTTCCAAAAATTTTAGTTCATAATATTACTTAGGAGATTTTATATTAATTTTTAAAGTGAACAGTGCACAACTTAGGGTGCTAGGCTTAAAAACCCCGGTCCCCAGGGTGATTTAAATATTTAAACAACCGGTCCGCAATGTGTTAAATATAAGTGAAAGCTGACAGTTGAAACCAATCAGACAAATGATAATTAGACACAATTATGTGCTAAGCCAGTAACTTATGTTCTGAGATTTGTACTTCACATGGCAGTGATTATGAAAATTATTGTTATATGGGTTGTGATGTCAAGTACTTTCTGTACAGAATTCAGAGGAATTCGCTGTCTCCATCTTCTGAGGCAGAGGCACATGGTTCCTCTGAAACATCTGCACCAGGCTTCATGGCATCGCATCTCAGAAGATGGTAATCTTGGTAAGATGCAATATTTTTCATTTATGTATATAAAACATCAAATACAGGAAAGCAAAGTGGCTCTTAGGTAGGACGTCCCAGCTATCAATACAAAACAAAATACTAGTATACAGCCAGGTCATAAAACCGGTCTGGACTTATGGAATACAGCTGTGGGGATGCCAGTAAGAGTACACAACCAGGACATATAACCGGTCTGGACTTAGGAATACAGCCATGGGGATGTGCCAGTAAGAGTAGCATTCAAACAATACAGAGAT